CGGTATCCACTGTTCCTGTGCCGCAACGCCATTCATTGAAGATGATCGCTCGAAAGTGCTCTTGTGGAATCGACATCATGATTAAAGTTAAAGAAGGCAACCCGGCAATATATACCTACTGCGGAGAAGTATGATCGACAGCGATAATCTATCACGTAGCAGATTCTAGGTATCGATCAATAAGCGAAAGTTCTGGAGCTTTCGAAAAATCGGCTCAGGACTTTCTTACCATCCCAAGTACTATAGAATAAGCCATGATGACGAGCGTGGTGATCAAAGTAGGGAGGAGGGGTTCGTATTGAGGTAGCCTCCCAAGACAGTTGCTGTGTTGGGGGCGCAAAATTTTAGAAAAAGTGTGAATGTGATGGTGGACTCTGCCAGGGACGGCCCTATCTCAACACGTGGGTGTCTGCAAAGAATTTAGTCAGAAAGAACTCTTTGAAAGTTGAAGTCTCGAAAACGACAAGAACTTCCCCTACAACCTAATAGCAACTTATGAAAGAGAATTGCTTGCAGATGGAATTAGACAACTGAGGTCATTATTGCTTGCCTTACTATTGCTACTATTGCTTTATACGTATAAATGGGAGTTGATATAGCCGTCAAGTCAACTCTTGAAAGCCTTCCACATGATCCCACTATGGGATCCTTCCTATAGTCTACCGAAAAAATTTAGAAAAGAACGGGAATCCCCTTCAAGACTTTCTCCTCAACCTGATAAAAGGAAAATACCGGAAACAGGTCAAAGAGTGGTAGGGCCATGTTCAGTGCAGGTACTGTCAGCCGCATCGGGATCGGCCCTGCAAATTCTGATTAGCTCAGCACAAGATGCTTCCCAATTCCGAAACTAAATCGAAATTCGTCACGGTCACCGTGCGTTCGCACTATTCGAACGAGGGGGTCGCATTTGTGGTTGGTTTTGGGGAAGGGGGTCGCATTCAGGGGTTGAGTGGGATTTGTGACTTCTTGAGTGAATGATGAGGCGGTTTGGATAGGTTTTTTAAGGTGTGATTGGTGTACAGCAGCGTGAGATAGACCAGGTGGGAGATGTACCCCCCCCCCCCTGCTCGATGGCGTTTGAAGTTGGGGGCTGTCGACTGATCTCAGAATGAGATACTATAGAAGCAGCCATGATGATGGTGGCGAGGGTGACGGTCGGGGTAAGAAGAAGGGTGGTCGTATTGGGGGAGCTTTCTGAGCCTCATGGTGGTGGTGAGGGGTCGTATGAGGCAACCTCAAGGAGGGAGGGGGGTCGTGAAATATCTGAAAAAGTGCGAACGTCACAGTTGACCCTGGTTGGTGCGCCAAAATTTTGGTTTCTTTTTAAAACAATTCCTCACAAGACTCATCCTTCGTACATCACAAACCTTATTTTATTCCAAAATTATTTCAGTTCTCATACACATATTCTTCATCGCCAACAAGGTACGAACAGCGTACAAAGAAGAACCTCTATTACCCAAAATGAAATCAAATCTTTTAATAAACCTTGTTCCAACTCAACTCAAATTCAGGTGAAAGTAATGACTTTGAAATAATACAAGCACATAAGACAACGGAACATTCCGTAAACAATCAGAAACTTGTAAGGAAAACATCTTTTGAAATAAGCCTAAGAAATACACAAAACTAAAAACGTAAGAATAGCCCGTGAGAGTAATGGACTCCAATATCAGCTCTGTCTCAACAACAGCGCAGGTCAAAATGTTCAATCATCAACAAATCGCCGAGGAGCTCGCCTTACTCTTGATGGGCGGCTCTCCGTATCATCACCAGAACTGGAAGCCTTCACTGACGATTCTGGCGAGGGATTCTCGGCTTCCTCAGTCTGAAACACTCATGTAGCAGCAGAAACCAAACCATAGTCGTAATAAAGCCAACCTGTGCATCAAGAAAATAATGTTCCTGGTGCTGATCTTGCTCATTACCACGCTTTTCATGCATGCCACAAAGCTCATCTTCGTCAATTTCCAGATCCGAATGAGCTGATGAGCCCCCTTCGGACAGAGCAGCATCAGGCACGTCGTCCACAACGTTGTCAACCTCCTGATTGTCTTCTCCTGCTTCAGAGTTCTTCTCGGCGCTCGACTTGTCACCCCTTTTCAAAGTAATGTGCACAGGTAGACCAAGTCGAAGGGCGAGATTCCTTAACAATCCAACTCACTAATCTGTCATCCTTTCTATATATGTGATTACAACGTACTGAATATGCTGGGTAGGCTGGTGAGAAAAGTCATGCTGAGACAACGGCTGCTTCCACTTAACTAGCCTATATCCACCTTTTCCAAGTTTCTCCGCCTTCTTGGGATAGATCTATGAAGATTCGTAAATCCCTCCTATTTAGGAGCATTCTTCGACCACTATAGGCATGGGGCTCGTTCCCGCCCACCTCAAGTGTGCCTACTACACCTCAGACCTTGCCCTTATGCGTAGATGTTTCCTGCCTTGTAAACTTCCTTATGACTGAGTTAGGAATCTTCCTAGTAAGCAGCACCTTTTTGGAAGAACGCCATGCCCACCACGAGATGGGTCCTTCCTAGCTATACCAATCAACCCGGTCTACACATTCACCCATTTCTCCGCGTTTTTGGGCTGTTCTACAATCGAATCCGAAATTTCGTGATTGGCACCGCTTACTCCAATGCATGCCCCACCCACCCATCGTGTCCACTTCGTTTGATGAGTTGACTCTGCTTTTCTTTGGTCCATTGGCCTCATCTTATCCTCATGTCAGCGACAATTTTGACTTGGGAGCTCACTCAAAGCGTGGTCTCCAGAATAGCTACTGACTTCCATTTGAATAGGACACAAACTCACCCTGGCAGCTTTATTAAAATAGCTAAGGCATTGACTCGCATTACCCCATAACGACGCCGACAGTAATTTTCATGCGTGGTTGCACGCCGCCGCCACAGGGGTAGGTTTATGTAGGCTTATGCGAACAGCAGGGTTAAGACGGGGCTAAAGTAGGTGTCCTTGTCTCATCATCCAAAAGAAGAGATTTCCGTTGACGACAAGTTCGTAACCCGCCTTTCCGCTCTAAAACTAGGGTGCAAAGAATGAATGGAAGCTGCAGGTGAAATTATCGAAAAATGCGGAACAACAACCCCGAGCAAGGATGTGGCTATATTTAGGGGAAGGGGTCTCGGGACGAGTGAACCATCTGTAAGCCATCCATCAAATAGTAAGCTTATGAAAATTAAGACAAAGTGTATGTAAAATTTATTGTAGGTTTGTCAAAAATCCACTCGTCCAGGTCCTGGGAAGATATGTTATTCCACATTGCTGAGAGTATATACGGGTATATTAAGATTGTTAGAAACGTAACAAAAACAAAAGAAATAATCGTGCGTCCGTTGTGGTTAAAAATTCTTACCGTATATCGTTTGATGTTGTGTAGTGTAGTCTATTCGTGGGAGGATATTGGGCCTTCATTTGAGCACAAATTTCAATAAGACATTTCTTTTCTTCGAGTGCTTTTCGAATCACTCCACACTGCCTATGAAGAGTGTTGTTTAGAGTCGTTGTAAAACGAGATACGAGGGAATAGGATAAGGATGCGGTCATACTTTGCAATCGTCTGGCACAAACGAGAGTGGAAGAGCACGTATCGATCGCAAAATCGTACAGTCTATTTACTCCATACTCGAATGCAAACGAAGAGCAAGGAGGCGCAAACTATGATCGCACCTTTACATAATCGGGACAAAGCAAAACGTTAAGTGAGTGAAAATATACGATGTCAGCAACGTTCAAAACAAAATATTTCTATTGCTCATAGTTATCGCTGTTATCAGACTCATTAATGTGGATGTGTACGGGAACACTCAAAAAAGAACTAATATGAATAAAGCTGCCGATTGAAAGGTGCACACTCTTGCGCATTTCTTCACAGTACTACTCCTCAACCCTGATCAATTTCTAAACAGCTACTGCAATCCTGCAAACGGGAAAAAGATTTGTGCATAACGTATAGATGCAAAACTAATGGAGATTTCCAAAACTAGAAATAGCCAGCAGCCTCACCTCTCATTCAGCCTCAAGGCAGTAGGGTCGAGCTCGTGGAAAATGTGACCGAAACAACAAGTGACATCTACGCTTCCATCGGTATACTCACTTGTCTGAAATAGCGAATGCGTGATCGATGGGTGTTTCACTACACAAACTGTTTGGACATCCCACAACAAATTCCTATTTCGCGATTACACAACGCAAGATTTGGGAGGGAAGGGAATCCCACTTCTAGGAAGCTAACAATGAGAATGGAAGTTGATGAGAAAAAGACGAAGACGTTAGGGTGCACGTTTCCTAGCAACAGCAACTGTCTAATCTTGCACTGTACCGTTCTCCGGTCGAGTTTTCCGAAATGCAAACTCATAGCCACATTCCATCTTTCCGCAGGGGACGTGTCCCTATCCAGCGATGCTTCCTTCTCCAGCCTAGAGGAGAGGAGACGGGATTCTGCTGAGGGACCCGCCACAAACCAATTTGTGCTAAAACAATTCTTTGCGATCGGAACACTATTCCTAAGGGGTTACGCGTCTCTATCTGGGAAGCAAGCAAATAAAAGCAACCTTTTCTCCACCAGCCTTGGGATAGCATCGGAGGAAAGGGATAAGCCCCTATAAGGAAAAGGTAGCATTCGCATCCAGCTCTTCAGAATTAGATCTAACACGCCGTCGAATACGGAAAGGGATGCCAGACTGCCAGAATAATGCGGAACACAACGCTGCCGCTGTCAAAATTGTGGCCCCCGTTAATCTGGCAGCGCCAGCGCTGCGGCGACCGAGACAAAAGACGTGACTTGAGGGCCACCTGTGCATTGCGGGTTGAGATTCTAGCGTGTCTGTTGCACACTTTCAAGCTGCGAGAGCGGCACCGCATCAAGGCTTGCCCGTCATTCTACCATGATCGGTTGTGGATTCGGTGACTGTACCTAATGCCCGCTCATGACCTTAAAGGCACATTTCGTGATCAAATAGGTGCGAGTCACTGCACATAAAAATAAATGTAGATTTGGTAATTGGTCCATCAGCAAAGAAAGAGAACAAAAAATGGTAAGAGCTACTATTGAATCCATATGCGCGCTGATCTTATGGGTGGGGTTTGGTCAGTTGGCTAGCATTGCTCTTGATATGGTGAAATAGAGTGAAGTACAGTGAAGGGATGCGATTAACCAATGAGACTTCCGTAAACCATGCCCATGAGAACAGCGCGCTGTGTGATTTTAAGGTTCT